TTCTTGTTCCGTCCATACGTACTGCTCAAAGCATTCGGAGCTCCTGCTACCGAAGGGCTTTATTACAATCTATCATCTCCTTCGGTAACAGAGCTGTGGCACCGCCACCCCTGAGAGAGTGTGTCCCGTACCCCGATCGCATATCGCCTATACCCAGTGCTGCTTGCTTGATCGCCCGAAAACATAGCATTCGCTGATAGCACACAACCTCTAGTGAGTAAGCAGAGTAAGCTGTTGTCAGCGAGTCCAACCCGGTTTCCTTGTTTACGAGGGCCGCTCCGCGTTCACAGGGTACAGTCACAATGGAGAATGGAGATGGCTGCTCGAGCGACCTGGTGACGCTGACTCCGCGCCGGTCCGTATCGCTGCCTCCAGGCTTGGTTTGAATAATGTGAGCTGATGCAACAGACGATGCTATGCTACCGTCTAGTGCCCAGAATGTGGGTGTCACGTTTTAACGTTGAAATTATTCTTTCGGGGGGGGGGGGGCAAAGTCTGTGTTCATGCACGTGAGAGTTAGTCCAACGACGGCAAAAACGTTCAGACCATGGAACCTGCGTCGGCGGCAACATTTCGAATATGCCCTTGCGATAGGGATTATCCCTGCGTAGAGTCTGGGAACACAAGCATTGTCCGAATACGCTCGAATGGAGGTGATTGTGCACTCCTTGGACAGCTTCCAACCGCTTCCCCATATCACTTCAGTCGTAGTGTTACCGAGAAGCACCCGAACATTTATCGAGATAATCTGCCTATTTGATTCTGTGGCGATAGCTTGGCACTCTTCCTTGTTAAAGCAAACTTGGGTGTAACGTTCTTGCGCTGGGCCGAGGACAGCGATGCCCAGAACTGATGCGTCCATATATAGGCGTACGATTACTCAAGTGAAATTGAGTTCGGGGGCCTCACCATTCACACCGAGTGAGGGGCGAAGCCACGCTAGGTCGAGATGTAGTGCCGTAACAAGAATACGTCCATGCCGCGGGGCGCTTGCAGGACGAATGTAACTGCTGGAACAAAAGTCGTGCTGACCGGAGACAAATGCACACGTGTCGGAGGTCACCCAGACCAAGTCATGACGACTGACGTCTCGACGTGCTGACATTACCTTGACACATTGAAGGCCCTTGCCAATTTTCGCCGCCTGCATTGATACAGTCTGATACTCTGTGTCAAATTCCAGACCGAGAACTTGCAGACGCATTCACCATTGGGTGCATTTTTCTCGTTGAATGCACGTGGTCCTAGAATTACCAACACTGCAAGACGGTGTGCGGTCGACGCAGCAGATAGACGTCCAGGTGTGTCAGCTTCCACAAGGCCGTAATCATCCACCCATTCATAAGGGAAGAACGATCGCTATCCCCCCCCCCATCCAACGAACAGACTCACTCACCAACAGTAGGTGGATGAAGGCACCTTTAACGGCGCCTTTTATGATTCACACGCGAACACCAGGATGAGTTGCAACACCCTCGTCGGTGCGACGAGCTATCACGGCCGCTAGGGCGAAGTACACGCTTGGGAAGCATGACACATCGGACGCATCGTTCGCTGACCTGCTCCACAGGTATGACAGGTCCTGGATGAGACGCACATCGATGGACAGGCAACATTCTTCTTTGGTATCGCTTCGAAAGGACTAAATTCAACAGCATGCCCAGTGGCGGCGAAATTGCCGTCTTGCAGCAGGCACCAAGCAGCGTCTTGACTTTTGCGTATGCTAGATACGGCAGTACCCAGGAGACGGTTGACGGACGGATGATTGACAAGTGGCTCGGACCGGCGAGGACCACGACACCGCAACTATGTTGTGACACCGCCGTGGTGGTGGATTGTAGGAGTCGTTGGTAACGGAACCCCGGCAATATCTCCTCGCAGCGGCGAGGGCACAGGCCTTGTTCGGATACCGATCTTCTAGCGTCGGACCGCGAACTAATTACGCTAGCTGGACGGGAGAGAAGACGTGATGATGTGCTAGAATGGACAGATCGCGCTGCCGTCCAAAGACTAGGGAGATAGAATACGTGAACCGCTCGTTGCGATCATTGTCCTGAATGTCGATTTCATGTGTGTTAAGACTACGAATAAACTCCATGCCTCACTGATTTTTAGCCCTGCGCAGGACACGATCAAGCAAGACCTGCACAATTGCAGGGTCGGGAATCCCAATCGAAGAAGACGGCGTCACAACAATGATAGGGGGTGCGTTGACCCGACGTCCACCCTAAACGGGAGACGCTGGTACCACAGAATTTAGGTAAACGATTTTGTGTGATTCCTGTTGTATTTTGTGTAAATCTTGTGGACCAGATCGAGCCGGTTTTAGTGGGTTGGGTTGAACTTTGGTGACCAGGGAAGGTAAATTCATAGATAAATTCCCTCGCATGATTTTTGAAAAATCTGGCGCCAGATATTTGAGGCTGTCATTCGTCGATCTCCTCTCTCCAGCTCAAGCCCGGTGGAGTACAGATCGCCATGGTAAGCAATGTAACATATCAACTTCTAATCCACCCACACTGGCGCTGCCTTCATGAAGATGCTTCGGGTCGACACAGAAGAGGAGCTTTCCATCACATCGGCGGAAACGCAGCCTCACAACAAGAAGCGCAAGCCTGCAGGCTTCGTGATAAAGCCGCTTCCAGTCTACAATCAATCGCTTTTGGACGATCATCGTGCGGAAAAAGTTGCCCGTGCTCGCGTGGATACAGAGGAATCACAATTGGCTATTAATGGGCGGCAGAAGCGCACGAGATACGCAACCGCCATGCTCCAAAATGGGGAGGAAAGTGCTGTACGCGGCCAGAGAGAACAGGAGATGTGGGAAAGAGCCGCTCTGCAAAACCTGTTTGGTATCGACACAGAGGAAGACGAGCTCAAAGAGATCAAGGTATCTGGCCAGGAGATGAAGATGCTGAAGATGGAGTCAGTAGCAATGACGGTTCTGATGATGTCGGGGGTAACACTTGCAGCGAGGATGCGAGCGTTAGTGGGCGTGACAACGATAGTGTTGACGACACCGACGACTCCGAAGCCCCTACCGAAATCTCACCGAATTCACGCCGAATCTGGCACTGGATTGCATTGAAAGAGAGGTGGCTGGCAAGGATTAACTTCAACTACAATACACACTGGTTTTTTGTAGATAATACACAGAATTTAGCTACCGAAACTATACAGAATTAATAGAACCGTCCTTGAAAAATGCTAAGTCGTACAATTCCCAAAAATAGATTTGGCTGTTTATAACTACTCCAAAACGATGTATTTTGCAAACACCAAATACGAAGGTAAAATATATTTACCCTGATCAATGGGAAACGACTATCACCTGTTTTCAGAGATCCAAACAGGACGTACGCACCGTAGTAATTGAATTTTTGGCCGTTTAGATTCTGTGGTACGAGCATCGTCCCACCCTAAACATAGTACGGTAGGTCTTTGTGCCGCCACATTGACCCAGCTCATGGGTACCACAGTTGTCCGTGTGATACATGGGTAGGGGGGGGGGTAAGAGGAAACGCAGAGGTATAAAGGCTAAACACACAGGACTGCATAGTTGAAATGCACAGGTGGCAGATCCACATACGGTGATGACGTCATTAGGCACACACGATGGCGTCAGTAGCTACTGCGTTTTGAAAACGGTCTCACTTCCGATTCTTTCCCTCAACCTCAAGCCTCGGACGCGCCCCAGGAGCTCGAAAGGCTGCTGAACGTGCGGCAGCCCCCAGTGACCAAGCCCACGACCAGCCGGTGACCCAAACCTGCTGAAGGCCGTTGCCAGAGGCCTGCCAACCAGTAACCGCCGCCGCAGCAGGGAAAAGAAGCCAGCGAAGCCGCTCCCTCCGCGTAAGTTTCGCTTAATTGTTTAATTGATGGAATTTCTCATTCTAATTTACGATATTTGACAGTGTAATATGGTTGAGCTTACTAAAAAGAAGATAGCTATGTTCTGGAATGAAGTCTACGTTGCAACGAGAATAGCGATAAGTTCTGATCTTTGTAATGAAGTCTTGGAGGAAACACAACATTTGGACTTTAAGCCTATTTTTCGTAAGGTTAACTCGGAAAAATTGGATCGCTTCCGTCTACAAGCTTCGATACCTGTTAGTGGAGCTGCTATGGGAGAAATTCATGAAGTTATTGCGTCTACTGTTGGGGAAGCAAACCCTAACTGGGCAATTAAAGAGAGCTCTTGGAAAGCACTTAAGTCGCTACCCGGTGGGAAAGACCAGTCTGTATACCATGATTATTCTACCTTTGAAACCGCGCGTGCTTTGCTAAAGCACAAACTGGTCCTAGGTTCTGTGATTGTGGTACTAATGGATAATTCAAGGCTACACGTGTATCCAAGGTGTTTGGAGGTCACGCGGACAAGGGAAAGCGATAAACGGTTAAGCTAAAACAGGATGCAGTGCTATTCTTCCGTGGTGACCTTGCACATGCTGGAGAAAAGTACGACGGTCTGAACATTCGATTGCACTGCTATGTACAAATTGCTGGGGTGGACCAAGAGCAGAATGCGACTGAAGCTGTTGTTTTTCAGACGTTTCGCTGTGACAAGTGTCTAAAAACCGCCTACACTCGTAAGAAATTGGCGGCCCACCGCCGCACTTGTTCGGAAAGAGGTTTACTCAAGTGCCCCTATCAAGGCAGCACTCTCGCGTACGACGTCCGCAATTCATTTAACTCCACATTGGACGTGTCCACAAGAAGTATGGGCACAAGTTTGCTGTAGAAGAAAGGTGCACGGGTGAAGAAGAAGAAGAAGAAGAAGAAGAAGAGAAAGAAGAGGAAGAAGAAGACGGCGGCGATGAGAGTGGCAGCAGCGGGGAAGACACCGTAGTGTTCGACACGGAACGTAGCAATGAAGAAGAGAGCGAGTACAGTGGGGAGGAGTGTAATGAAGACGAAGAGTAGCTAGCAGTTGCAGATGTAACTAGATACAGCGAGTGTTTTCAAATTCTTGTTCGTTGTTCTAGTTTTTCTACTGCCGGTGACAGTGACAATTTTTTCACCGGTAACAGTGACAATTTTTTTAACGTTTTCCGTTACGTGTCTGGGCACAAAAGAAACTGAACGTCGAGCGCTCGGGAGGCATACGGCATTTGTCCTCAATAAAGACATTTGTTCTTCGACGGAAGGGGTCGGCGCTACAGCTTCTGTCCGTTGGCGTTTAGTCGGCGGGTTGGACTTCTTTCGAATTTGACGATTGAAGCGTTTTTCTGAGTGATCGTGAGCCCCTGGACGGCCAAGGCGTCTAGCCTTTCGTCCAGCTAAGATGTGACAGCAGCTTCTGAACTTGTTGTAGAACTTGCAGCCGCATGTACACTTTTCAAAGTCAACGATCCAACCGCTCGCTGGCATTGATGTGATATGCGCATACCACAAGGACCACGATGTAACGTTGTTGTAAAGTTGCGCTGCACGAGCCCGTTGCTCTCGGACCATGAGCGCTTCGCCGAGAAGAAGAGAGTCCTGGTCAACCGATGGTGAATTTTCTGCCGAGGCACGGAATGGTTGGTCGATAGCAGAACATAGCTCGTCAAGCGCTTCGGCTTCTTGCAAACCCTGCACGATAGGTTTTGGTATTTGCTTCACGCGGCACAATGCAGGATTGTCCGTTGAGAAGACTGCTACGCGACCAGTTGCAATCCTGGAGGATGCTGCTTTGGAGATCAATGAGGAGGGTGCTTGAATATCGGTGTCTGACTGGGGGCTCGCTTGTGTACATCACTAATAACATTAAAAGTATCCGGTAGAAGACACTGCATGCGATACCTGCACCGGCCGGTGTACTGTTTCAGAATCACATTGAAGGTCTCACATGGGTTGTTCGTAGTTACGTATCCAATCCAACACCTGCCACCTCCAATACCGGCTATCCAGTCATTGCGTAGTGAAGTAGTTTACAAACACTTCCAGTTCTGGAATCTTCCGCCACTCGCCGAGAACTTCTTCGTTCTCCGTGTAGTACATGGTCATGCTGTCTGTATAGTGCAGCCGGACGATTCCGTTCATCACGGACTTTCGAAGCTCCGTTGCCAAGTGTTTCGTACGTTTCCGCACATTGTATAGTTCGTGAAAGAAACACATCAAATATTGAAAATAATTAATACCTGTTGTTCTAGCATTTTTTACCTGTTGCACGCCTCCAGCCACTACTAACCTGTTGTGGCCACTGATGGACTGTTGCTAGTTCATACGCAATATGAAAATCTGTCGCAGTTTACTTATTGCATATATATACGTTTTTGTAAACATTTGGTTGTCTCTTCGTGATGTTTTTTTTTTTTTTGTACACAACTTCAACGCGTTGCAGTGTTACATGTTGAACCTCTTACTTTACAAATTGTTTTATTCGATAGCACTGTTATTTCTTGCAAAAGAATAATTTTCCTATAATACTTATTACCAGCACTACACATTACAATAAAATGAGGGTTTACCTATATATTTTAGTGTAAAAGACCTTACTACACTTAACCAAATTATGAAATTTCATAATCTACGTACTTACAGCTCGAATTGGATGCTTTATTATCGATTTTAGCAGGTCCCTAGTTCGCAGTGCCCGAAGCACTCACTACGTCTAGCCTCTAATTTGTTGATGTAGATATGTATGTAAATGCACGTGTAGTGTGTACTCTAGTTTGAAACTCGAATTTGGAGATGATGAGCCATGTTCACAGCTCGAGCCAGCTGTTCGGCCTCGTAGTCTCTCAAAATTCCGTCCCCAAATCGAACGGACCACTTGTGCACGCCGTCTGACAGACGTAGTCCCACAACTTCCCCAATAAAGTTGTTTGTTTCCTCTGAACCATCTCCCAGACTTTGCTCCTCCACTATTTTCCAGCTCAGTGGCTGCCCAGGTTGTCGAATAAATAGCCAAAGTAGCCGGTCTACATCGTAGAATTCATCTTGTGTGGAATCTTCGGTAAGTGCTGGTCTTCGAGCTCGAGGTCGGCCAGGGGTCCGCCTCACTGGTATACTGGCCATAGCAGCGTCTATATCAAGTAGACCGAGAAGTGATAGCGTAGCAATTGCATGTGAACAAATCCAACCTGAACGCACGAAGGATTCGCACGTGCAGTAGAGGAACTGTCGAATTTGCTGTATGATGTGAGCAGGCCAAATCGAAGCTAGTTCAATCTAGGTGGGAGTGTTTGAGCCATGATCAACACTGTGTGTAGAGAGAGTAACTCGAATTCCACTTTATTTGCCTTGATCCCTCTCGGAAATCTTCCCTTTAGAGAATGCAGAAATTTACAGCACGCGCTTGATCAACATCAGTACCTAACAAGCCTTGGCTGCCGACAATGTGCTTTGACACGTTAAACACAATCGTGGTCAATTGTCTGTTCCGCCCGCGTCCACTAATACCTTCTTGTACTTGCGTGCTGTCGATGTCAGTGCTGCAGCTTTGGCTAGCATCTCAGGGGGAAGAGGCCCTTCGCAGTAAAGCGTAGGCACAGGTTCTCTTCATCGCCCTTCATGATACGGGGTAAGATGCCGTTTAATACGCCGGTAGTAAATGCTCGTGAGCTAGGGACGCATGTCTTTTTAATCACACAGTGGTGTGATTCAATGCCTTGTTGGCTCGGAGTGATACCGCCTACAGCAGCTCGTTTGATGTGCCAACGATTCCACCTCTCCGTTAGATAAAGATCTTTGAACCACTGAGCGTAGACATCGTCTCCACGTGCTATCCAATTTTCGATGACCACCACCGCAAGCTTCACAAATTGAGCATGAGTACGAGACGATTTGAGTAGATACACGTCCGGCTTGATCATCTCCGCGAACAGATCAGCATCGACTAAGAGGGTCTTCTTCTTGAGCAACTCCCGCACCAAGTGTGGCCAGCAGGTTACCAGTGTAATAGTCGGTCAGGTTGACTGAAAAGCAGACGCAATAACGTCGCTGTGGTCGAGACTGCCGGATGCAACATTGACTTCAATGTCGAGGAATGCCATGGATTTTTCGCGAACGATCTGGAACATCCGAGTGTATGCAGCCGTCGATTCACTTCGAACAATCATATACACCCAGGGGATTAACCGATGCACAGCCGTCCCCCGAGACCATGTCACAGCAGTGGATCTACAATCCACAACAGTCCAACCACCGAAATGAAGCTTGAATGTACCATCAGAGGCACATACAAGCTCATTTCCCTGATCTCGCACTGAATTCGCGATGTTACGGAAGACAGGTCGAGAACTGACAATAACCCCGAAAGATGTCCCTTCATCTTCTTCGCCAGACACCGTGAACGTGTCGAGAACGATTATTTCGTCCATGGAAGAATCTCTCGGGTCTGTAACCGACATGAACTGTTCTCTTGACATACATACGAGATCAATCGCCCACGCTGTGAAGGAGGCGTGGTTTAAGATCTCCCAGCCATTTGCACTTTTGACTAAAAGCGCTTTCCGATTTTCCAGTTGCTTCCTCGTCGGAATCAGCCGAAGTCTTTCAGGCTGATGCCGAAATCTGTGCAACAGAGTAGACCGAAGCTGTTGGGCCCCCCATCCCATCCGAAGCAACGAATCAATCTCCTCCACGAGCAGAGGGTGAATTCCACGACGCTGAACCGAAATTCCTGTTGCACCGTGTTGTCCCGACTCCTCCAGCTGATATGTCGTCGGTACTCCTTGGTATCGAAGTTCTTTAATTTTGAAGCGATGTTCACAGCGCTCATGAGAGCGACAGCGATATAACCTAGCGAGAATTCGGTATGTATCATAGCGAGTTTCGTAGGTGTATATGCTGTCGTTTTGATCGACGATTGCTGTTCTAGCCGCATTGAAAGTGTCAAACATCCTCACCGTTGCTTACGCATAAGTGATTGCAGCTCTTTCTCCAGTCTGTGATGTCTCTATCGCCTCCTAAACTCAAATTCGGAATACTCTGAACCGAATTCACTCTCGGATATGACTCCACCAATTTCAGAGGCTTCGGAATCGCTTTGGTTGAGTATTTGTTGAATCACGGTTGCGTCTGGTATAAATGAACTACGTCGCGAACTTGGATCACCTTCCACCATGATACCACACCGAATTTTAGGTCGATTGGTACTTGAGAGAAGGAGTGTACAGTTGATTTTCGTAGTTGGAAAGAAAAGAAGAAGTGCGTTTGAAAGGACAACATCGGATTGCCAATTGCCAAAAAAATCTCCGTGTGTGCTTATTCCGGTTATCTGTTGCTCATCATTGCTACTTACCTGGTACGTGTGCTGATATTATGTTGTAAAACACAACCATGACAGCCAATAAGTAGTGGAATAAGAACACAGGAAAAGAAAGCCTTTCACCATTTGGCACACACACTACCAAAGCCACAGCTGCCACTATGAGCCACCTACAACTATACCTGATTATCGGTTGCTAAACAACAGGTCGATCAGTGTTCACAACAGATTAGTAGTGGCTGGAAGCGTCCAACAGGTAAAACGTGCTAGACCAACAGGTAATAAACATTACCCATCAAATATGTTGCTGCTCCGAATTCATGCACCTGCTGGAATCCATTGAGTTGCGCGTCTTCTACATCTCCCATTGCGGCATTAATAGAGAATGTCGCGGTTGGTTGCACGTGCTTCACTAGGCAAACAAAAGCTTCCAGGCACATGGCATACGCTTTAGCTGTCCGTCGACTAACGATGAATATTGCTGCAAGCTGATAGCACCGAGAAACATCGGAAAATCCACATGTAATTACCGGATACCCGAGATCGCTTAACATGAACGTCGCGTCAGCATGAAACAGAGTATAGCGACTCGCAGATGCGTATTCAATACTGGCTTCGACGAGAGTGCAACTGGACACTCCTACCACGAATGAGTCGACATCAGTTCCTTTCCCCACGTATGGATGACCACTTGCGTTTTCTCGATGCCCGAAGCAAAATGGTTTTGAGAGATCTCCAGTCGGGTCGAACGGGTTTTGTTGCACTATCTCTCCGACGGCTTTGAGAGAGTTCTTAGTACCCTGAAGAAGATACTTGGCGCAGTTAGTAACTTGGGCCAAAGTGGGGAATCCTTGGGTTGGCTTTATAATGTCCGAAGCGCGGCGCAAGTTACTCAAGATAAGCATCGGAGGTCTTGAGCACTCATCTTGCTGAAGAATAAACCGTTTCATTTCAGCAGTAATTACAGCTCGGTGAGGCCCCTCGCGCTTCGTGGTTTCGTCGCGAAGGTGCTCTATACCATTGTAGTAGATGTGCCATCGCTTAGTGGCGGTGCAGCCCCAAATCTTGCATTTGCACTTTCCTTCGACCTTGCAAGTGCGGCTAACGCAGCCTAATCTCTTCTCCGTCATAATACGGCACACGTGACATTGGCAAGCTGGGTCGGTATGGATTACTCGAGAAGAGCAAAACTCCACATACTTAAATTCAGTAACAGATTCGGGTGAGTCAAACTCACCCAGTGCCTGCCATGCGTATACAATCCTTGTCATCGTGGACGCAATGCCTGAACCCCGCACGTTCAGACGACACCTCTCTACCAAGCCCACCACTCTCTCCAATGTCACCACCCGCTCAAATGTCACCACTCGCTCAAATATCACCACTTGTTTAAAAGCATTGTTTTGCTCTCTGCGCGCGGCTAAGACCTAGGTAATGTATGATTGCGTGAGTAAAGCTGGATTCCGTGTCAGTGGCTCGAATGGTTGTCACCCGCTTCCGCTGTTGGTTCGAACTTTTGAAATGAGGACGAGTGGTTGTGGTGACTTGGATTAGATCAGGCATAACAACCATGTAACGTGTTGATCACGCTATTTTAGTCTTCAAACTGTGCTTTCCCACCAAATTTACTGTGATCCAACACCATATAACTGGCGTTTCTGTGGATTACATTTTTGGTCTGTGCAATTCTCACAGCCTGCTGTGCAGTTCTTCTGTATGATCTGTGCAATTCAACCGCTCTCATGGGTAGGTCTGTGTCTTGGTCTTCAGTGAAAATCCATTAGACAGTCGTTGGTTCGTCCGGTGGATAGGAACATTGGGAGGTAGCCACTTATAGCTTGTTGACGCCGCAGAGCCTCTCGGAGAGGGGTGTAAACCCTGTTAATTTTGGTGCGACTCAAACGGGTTTTGATCACTTGCCAGGCCCGGTTCTACGTCTCCTCCATAGTCGAACAGGTATAATTTCAGTCCAAGATTCGATAGCAAAAGCCACTCAGACGATTTATGGCCTGTGGTGGACTCTGTGGGAGATCACCTTGCGTTATTACGATATTTTAACGTACACTGGCCGATTTATTGGTTGGCCAGATGTGCACCCGGGCTTGAAACGTGTCCTTTGCTGGGTTTTTTTTAATTGCAGCCCCCCTTTGACAAAAAAAGAAGGCACACTTCACCCGAGCAGGGCAAAATCCGCATCAAATGTTGTTTCCACCTTTCAAGCCCGGTAACGCAGTTATAGGTGTCATTACCAGGCTGATCGTCACTTCATCGCAAACCGCCTGCGTATACACACCGTTCACTCTAATTATTCATGCTTCGGAATTAGTCATGCATACGCGCTTTAGAAACGTCACAAAATGGGAAGTCTTGCAAATATCACCTATTCTAGTGAAAGAGACCAGTTTTTGACAGTTCTCGGCGATACCAGTATTCTAGTACGCTCGGTTTAGAATTTGGAATGTTACTTCACAGGCAGCTGAAATCACCTGATTTTGTGGTCAGAGCACAGAACTAGTCAGGGCAGACAAATTAGAGTGAACAATGTACCACGAAACTGCGAGTCGCTGCGCCCAGTTCACCCCACGTTTCCGGGACTGGAATAGATGAAGGAGTTTTTTTTTACTGGAAGGCCGGTCAGACAGAGTCTTACGTATGGTACCCGTACTATAATCAAGTAGTTTGGTGGTGTATATCTGATATTATTTGTACTCAGAGCCCAATCTAATGTTATCAGCTCAAAACTTTAGTAAAGTTACTTGAGAACTTGATACACCTGTTATATAGCATTTAGACTGTTTTGTTATACCCAGTATAGCGGGTTTCTCTCCTGAACCTGCATACATATAACGCGTCATTTCAGCTTAAATCAGATATGGTTTCCGTACTTTATTTCAAATAGACTCGCGATGTATATCTGATATCCTTTTCACAAGTAATACCACCATGGTGAATGTTGCTTGTGGCGGCCAAGCGAAACATCACGGTAAGTTACGGCTGGCCGTAGTAATTTTAATCCGTGTGAGTGTTGGCCGAACAGAGTCCAGCTTACGCCAGAGCGCAGATGACCCCTTATATCCTTCTTGTGGTCGCAGCGCGACTCGCGCAGTATGATAGCGAATATATAGTTAGAACAAAGCGTCCAAATAGTGTATAGGACTGCATGAATTATACTGAACAAGTTTCGAAATGCCGCGAGTTAAAATGACGTTATTTTACACTTGCCATGCTCATCATTCTCACACGTCATACATTCATAGACAGACACATGACATCGTATCGTGTTTTGAGGCTTCTATAGAAAAATGTAATCAATCAAAATAGAAATCCACAATTCATCATCGCTTTCTTGTACGCTTATTATTCTTGATATAGTATACTTCGACACGATTCAATTCTAGTTTTTTTCTGTTAGCAAGGCCAACAAATGCTGTTATTCCCAAATCGTTGGCTTATTGCACCGCTGTATCGACGACGTCTGTACACGCACTACCTCGATGCAGACTTGAGGTTGGTTTCAAAGTACGCGTCATTGAAAGGCACGTTGGCCTCACCAAAGTCGCCGTTTTCAAAGGCCTCACGAGCCGCGTCCGTCAGTTGGTTCCACTGGATGAGATCCTGGTATTCGCCTTCCTCGTGGAATGGGAAAATGGTGTGCCACCCTTTATAGTCGTCGTTATCGTAGCACACCTTGGGAGTGATTCCATTGATGACCTCCGAACGCTTGAATGGTTTACTAATCTTGTAGTAAGCGCCAAACGTCGACGTAGCGGTTGCTAGAATTTTCGGCTTAGCTAGAGCTGGATTGTCGAGCCACACAACCAAATTCACCCAATCGTGCCGAAGACCTTTCTTGATCAGGCCTACATCTTTTATGTCTTTAGGGAAATACCAAGCATACATGATTGCCCACTTGCCCTCGTACCACGTAGATCGACTGTACACCTGTGACCCTAAGGGAGAGCCTTCACATTCACCGTCAGGAGCCCCCGTTCCTTTCAAGCCGGCACTCGTTTCGCCGGCGGCATTCACGGCAGGGTACGGGTGACATCCAGCCTTTACTGCGAGTGACGGCTTGTACTTGATGGCGGCTTTCTCGGCGTCCGTGATCGGTTCGGGCTGTGCGAATGGCTGGACCTTGTCATGGTCGATCGAAGCAGCTCTGATGCTGGCGATGGCGGCAGCAGCGAGTATGGTTAACACCCGCATCCTTCTACTGTTCAGATGGTGGTGCTCAATAGCCGGAAGGTTGGGATATGGGAAGAAGGAATGAAGGGCGAACTGATCCCAGTGATCCACGGATGTACCTTCTAGAGACAATAGTAAGCTTCTAGTAAACTTTTATCATGGACTACTGTCTTCCTTAGGTTATTATTAATAACGCCTGCCAAATTCTTGAAGGGAACGTTCCCTATCTCTAAAACCAAAGCAATGACTTTCGACAAAAAAAACAAATGCTATTTGTTGTATACTTTCTGTAAGCACTTCAACGGGGTTCCAGTAAACACATAAACAACAACGGTACGAAATCTAGAGGCCTTGATTTGCTACTAGCCGAGCGCCGCCGCTACGCGGCGGTAATTTATGTTAGATCGCAATCGCTAAGGTATTGTACCCTTTTTAAAAGGCCATTTTTACTCTAAATGTTCTCATTAACCCATTAATCAATTATTATTAAATATTTCATTTAACTCTACTAATAATTTATCGCTTTATAATAATCTTTACAAATTCTAATCTCTAAGTTGATCAATGCGATTCCATAGGTACAATGTATCGTAGCCTCCTGCTTATAACTATACCAACACGTTAAAGATTTTCTATCATTTATTGTACTATACACTTTATTTGCGAAATATTATATAGTCTCGTGCCCTAACACTTTTAACAAAGGTTTTATTGTTGTTAAATTCACTACGATGGTTTTACAGTGTGCAGTCTGGAGTGTTCCTCAGTTCGTTGTATTGTTCGATCACCACTCCAGTAAAAGAAAATATATTGCTTGTTTTCGTTTTAGTTGGTAATATCGTTGGTTCAAGCCGCCTACCGTTCATGTGAAGCTCACAAATAGCTATGCTAACCGCAGCTCACACGCACGTGTTTCAACTGTGAATTTGCGCTCAACTACCGATATGACGAAGTGTATCTCTCTGCGAAATAAGTCAGGGGTTTGAGTTCAAACGAATAATGCTCAGCCTCTCGTAGAGTAAGCGTGCTCTATAGCCTAGACCGGCTCTGACTAAAGCTAATAGCGCTATAGAGAATATGATCAAGCTACTTATACATATGATGTTAGTTGCTTTTATTGTATCTATTATTACATCTGGAACAATATGTCATTATGGCACGAATAAGCTTATGTCTATTAGCAACCGTGGTCTTATTGCGGACCTGCAAGTAGTGCAGGTTTACCCCTCGAGCGTATACCAACGAAGTGTCTCATTTGAAAACATTTATGTCCAACTTGAAAACAAAGTTGATTATAGCTCTCAGTTTAGCTCGTAGCTTAACTTAGTGTCGCTATCGAGTACTTCAGACTCAAACTACATATTGTGAATTCCGTCCAAATTTGCCGACTTGGGTCTGTTTGAGGAGCAGAAGGACAATCGTACATACAAACCCAAGACATTAGTAGAACCCACCAAGTCTTTTCTTGTCACCTTATTTCGTACTTAAACGGGTCCGTATACGGAATTGTGTTCGCTGGGCGATTTGGTGGAAATTCATTCAAAGAACCAATTTGAGTAGAACCAACAATAACACCTATACTATATATAGCCGCACAGGGTCCTAGCAAGCACACGTTGCACATTTGTAGTGCGAAATAGGTACATGTAACGTTACTAAAGAAACATATTATGTTATTGATGCGCTTTCGCTTCCCTTGGCAGCTTAGAGTGGATAGCCTTGCGAGGTCGTGCTATGTAATCCGTATGTTCAATGTGCAACACACAGCAGTACAGTGGTCGGGCAATCGTATTAAAATTATCCACTCAGAGGGCTCTTATCACCAATCCTATCTCTTGTAGATTTTGAATTTTGTCCAATATTTTGTCCGGAAAAGCGTGACAGGTGCTAGTAAACAATCTAAGTATGACGGACAAATAGGTTGCTGCAATAGTGGTTTAAGATTTTGATTGTCACTAACCAGAAAAGGGTATGTTACTCATCGACGAGTCGATTAGACACTATTAAGACATACAAATCTAAAGTCAGGGAGGGGTGAAAGATTTGTTCAAAATGAACAGTAAAATGAGATACATAAGCATTCGAGCATTAGAATAGGTGGAAAATATAATATGATTATGTCTCAATTCGTATAAACACTATTATATCTTATAATAGTAAATTAATGACAATATAATATGTTTACTACGAAATATTATGTTTTTCGTTATTTTCTAGCATCCATATGATGCTATACATTGGTGAAAAATCTATCTATCAGTATACTCACTTGCGCTGCGTGCACAACATGATCCAAGTCATCGCAATGGGACCGAGTCCTGCATTTTATGGTAACATCGGCTCTAGACGACTTTGTTAGGTGATTAAGTGAAACTTTGTTTTTGTTCACCTAGTATTTAACCGCAACAACAAGGGCATGCAGTAGCATCGCATGAAATATAGGGCGTGACAGGTTTTATGGACTTATTGTGGCTCAAGATTATGTAGGGGCATCGTAGACAATCTTCTATAAAACGGTTAGGTGTATGCTGCGTGTCCAATTGGAGGGCGCGAGATTTCCCCGTTAATTCATTGTTTGATCTTTGGGACACAATTGCCTCCATCTATTCAGATCAATAAGGAGCTTCATGACTAGAGTAAGTAATATTTCTGTCAGTAGTAGCATAGGTAAATAGTAATTATCTTTGGTAAAAACGAATGTCACTAAAATTTCAGTAAACATTACAGAAAGCTCCAATGTTACTGTTCAAATATCATTGTTGGGTATAATATAGTTAGATTACACCAAGCTGGATCCGCTCTAGTATTGTTGAATAAATATATTAATAGTTCGTTATTTATCAAATAGAATTACTATTTACCTATTGCTACTGTCAGAAATAATATTTGCTCTAGTATGAATCTCCTTTATGGCGTAATCGATCGGAGTAGATGGATTTCTGGTCTGGTTTAGAAGAGACATTTGTGAGTTCATGCAAATGCTACAGTAGATGATGACTAATTGTCCTGGACTTTCAAGCTAAAAAAATGTAGCCGACGAAAAACTTAGCTCCGATTTGCTCTGTTTGTTGCTACGGTATTTCCCTAGCAACCAAAGTTTTGAAATACGAAATTCCCGCCATCGACATTTTCGATGCTTGAATGCTTCTTGATGAAATAGACTCCTCACCATTGTTAGCGTTTGTTAGAGGGCCACTAATCTTTGGGAGAAACCTAATGGCCTAAATTTTATTTGCTATACTTCATGGCTAATAGTATGCCAGTATTAAATATAGTGTTGTTACATGTAGGTTTTTGTCGTTCTCACTTAACTGGGGTGCTAGATTTACATAATAAAGTGAAGTTATTTGCTTATCGATGTTATGACAGGGCAAATCGATCGAGCTCCAGTCAGCCAAAATTCATCGCTAGTGGTCGATTTCGATAAATCGGTACCAAGCTTCTATGAAACTACCCCTTTACATAAAAAAACACAAATTGTGGACAGATATAACTGCTCCATGTCGGTCAGATGCTTCCTCATTTATGTGTAGCTTATGTTCCGGTCCTGATGATCGATCTAAGTCATGTCTAAAACGAAACCCCAACTTCCTTGAAGCAATGTACCAGTCTATTGTACTTGTACAGCAGATGTACATGCATTAATGGGACTTGCAAGTGAATCTGAAGCGCAGTTTCCGAATTATCGTCTGATCCAGTGGACACGCACGGAGGATTTATTCTGAATCGTTTTTTGTAGAGTACACGAAACGCAGTAAAACATAAAAATCTTTCATTCTACAGATTTTGTAGAACATGTACCCATCTGCTCGCAGATTTGTAGGACACAGAGTCCTCAAATTTCCATTTGGAAATGATTTTATCAATATCAACTGACAAGGGTTTTGTATTGAGCCAGTGCAAAGGTTAGTTTTTTTCGGAATTTGTAGGACACGTGTCCTGGATTCCTCCCATAGAATACCTGACTTCATAATTTCAAACTTTGCCACCATGACAAACGTCAATTGGAGCCAGCTGGAGAAGAAAGTGGCGGAGATTAAACGCAACACGGTGAGCGCGCGCTCACGAGCTGTGTACCAAAACTCCTACGGTCGATTTGTTGCCTGGGTTGTCCTCCATAAACCCAACTACTGACACCTGCCTTCGCTCAGCGTCTAGGTGACGTATCGGATCTCTCAATCAAACAGCTCAGGAAGCGGCTGAAGACTCATCTAAACCTCGACGAGGATAACCCACCTCTTCAGTTTGTTGTGCTACAGTCAGACGTCTTTGAGGCTTGGCTATTAACGCTGGAGAAGCGTGACGGTAGTACTCTAAGCTTCTCGGCGCTAAACACTTATCGCGCCGGTCTATTCAACCTCTATCGTGACTATGGATGTGAAATGTTTGCAGCTATGGAGAAAGATTTGCGCCAGTATTTCAAGGGGCTCAAACGGGAAATGGCTATTGCAGTAGCGCGAGGAGAAGCTCGTGCAAAAAGTGGCAAGGATCCACTTTCTTTTGAGCTATATATATATTTTTTTCTGTGAGCAGTTCCTCCAACAAACATCAAAGGACATGCTATTTGCGAGGGCGTACATGGTAATTTCTTGGAATCTCATGTGTAAATCTGCAAACGCTTTTGGCATTCGCCACGGCCACATGGAGTGGAGTGGAGTGGAGATGCCCTGTGTGTGTACTTTGCACACCAGAAAAACGACCAAGAAGGCCGTAGACCTCGTGACCCAAGACACATCTACGTCAATCCATTACGACCGGCTATCTGTCTCGTGCTAGTTTTGGCAATATGTTGGGCTACCTCGTCATTCGATGGCTCTGATCGCTTATTTCCTGGTAGTAAGTAGTATGAGAGGTTTCGTAAATGTCTACAGCGACTTTTAGATCGTGATTGTGTGGCTGAGGAGCTACATCGACGTGGGGTTGACCGCGACGAGCTTGGTACGCATTCAATGCGTAAGGGTGCGGCAACGTACTGTGCGTCCGGCTCAACGGCATGTTCGTCATCGACAGCGGTTCACCTCTGTGCTGGATGGTCGTTGGGAGGGGTACAGAATACGTATCTTCGATACGAGTCAGCGGGGGACATACATGTTAGTCGAACTGTGTCAGGTCTCCCACCAGACAGCCACGAATTTGCAGTGCTGCCCCCTCATTTTGAAGAATGAGATGCGACAATTGAGAACGCTATTGACTGTGTTTTTCCCGGCTGTAGTGGCTGGTTGAGTCCAAGCCTTGCCCACTGCACTGGGCTGCACAGCTGTGACTCAGTCTGTGAAGCCAAGCTAGCATAGGAGTACGAGGACGTAGCGAAGCGAGTTCTATACCATAACGTTCCGTGAGTTTAGTCAGATTGAAATCTACCGGCAAGTAAGCAATAGAACCAAGGTTAACAGGAAGCGCCAGCTTCCCTCGCGTGTGTTCGTGTTATCGAGACCCACTACACCGGCATACCCGCCAACCTCACGTATATTGGAGAATTTTGCTTTGCTTCACTTGTGTACCATGAGCCGTATCTCTGACTAAATATCCCCAAAACCCACCCTCTGTTCGAGTCACCGATGTTTCAGCATCCAACTTTACTATCGGATCTTTTGACCAAATTGCGTGGTGTCAAAGATCGTAGTGGCCGGTTGCATGCTACAGGTGTGCCACCGCATGTAGCCATCTTAGGCAAGATGAAAGGCTTATTAGAGGGTACGCTGCAAACTGTTGAGCATATTGATGCAGCAAGAGCGTCCACGGTGAAGGAGATAATGTCAGAACTTGAGAAACGTGCAATTGGAGCTGGAACGGTAACATTTGAAGGGCTAGATCTAGCTCTGAAATGATGTCTTCATACTGTCGGCGTGATGGATCTTGTGAACAAACTAAACACAACTCCTGAACAGACAACTTGTCAACTAGTTGAAGGCGAGACACCCGTGATCCCATCTTTCTTCTGGGGTGGACGATTCCGCCGAGTACCGCAGGAGTTTCAGCTTCCAGACTGTTCCGTGGCGACACTGTGGGTAATGTGGCAGTGTGGCAACGCGACAAAGAAGATCCCTCCACTGCGTATGCTCGATGGCCTGGATATGCCGAATAGAAACATGCAAAAAAGACTTAGTGACATTCGCTACCTCATGAGCAGTGTCGAGGCCGAAGCACGACGTATCGGTATGTGGCCAGCTCGGCAGAATGTAGAAGAAGCTGTGAAGACGTTCTCCGCGTGTGCAAGCGTCGTTACTGTAACTCATCTTACAGCGAAGAACCGCAAGCGACGTCAAGTTCAGCTCAGCTGGAAAACGGTGGTGGCCTTGATGCGCAGACACCAGAAGTAGCAGTGAATGATTGGTTATTTTTTGCGTTAACTACTACACGTCATTGGTAGAAATAAGGTTATTCTGATGTCCTGCATTTGTCCTGAAAAATCCGTCTAACAAGCATTTTCATGCACTGGCGCTGGAATGTGATTAACCACAGACGCAGCGTTTTTTTAAATTTATTTTTTTAAACTAAGGACGGACGCTAGTAACATGACCGTACAGTAGCGCAATGATGATAAAGAAGTGGAAAATCAGAATACGCCCGTACAATTGAAATAGAATCAAAACAGATCCGTTATTTATTATGTTCAACTCCAATGAAAAGATATGTTCAACTCCAATGAAAAGACAGCAAACATGACATAACCTGTGCACTCTAACTCCATAATAAACTAATAAATCAAACTAGTTGCTGCACTATTGACCGCGGTATGTCTACAATTTCTTCACTTACTCTTCTTTCTTGAGCTTGTCTGTTGTGCAAAATGACCACTTAATATTGTATGGGGCATTCTGCGAGGCACTCTACGCCATATTAAACAGGTGACTTATTTACAGCGGATAAGTCGTGGCTTAAACGCGCATAAACTCGTCAGGATCGATTGTTCTGCCCCTAGAACTGGGTCGTGTAACGGACTTACGCTTTTATTGTGAGTCCTACTCAAAATTTCCATGGGAGGTTCTCTGAATGATCCTCCCCAGCGTATACAATACCTTATTATGACCCGTTTAAGTACGAAATAAGATCACCACATGTGGTACAAGTCTGCAGAGAGATGGATGTATATACAGGAGTGATGATCAACATAACAGTTTACTAAAGCCACGATATTGTGAATTCCGTCCAAATTTGCCGATCTGGGTCTGTTTGAGGAGCGGGAGGACAATCACCACCATACAAATCCAAGTCATTAGTAGAACCCACCATACATCTTTCGCCAGATCATTCACTTTCGAATCTGCAGCCGGAAGTGTGAACCGACATGTAGATATTAATATGCTGATGGTAGACAGGGTTAATAGTGAAGGTGACTCACTCTGCGCTGTACAGGAAGCTCAGGTGTGCTAATGACGCATTAACCGACGAAAACACGTCGCCAAACATGCTTTCCAGTCAGTAACAGGACAAGATTGTGCCATTTAGTGATGTAAGGGGTTACACGCAAGTGGCTACATGTAGCCACTTGGTAACGAAAGGTTTCCCATTAGTGTGCGATATATCAATGGTTACATTTGGCAGACGACTGGTGTGCATGTATTTAGACTTCCTATGGGTAGAAAGGCACCATTTTTCTACCAATTACAGCAGTAGCATTCTGCCAACCACTCGTTGGCAAATACCTTTCATATACAATATCAATTTTAGGAGGAAACACAAACAAAGACATAAACCATAACTAACAGTTCTCATTTTACCATAGACCGGCTTTGTTATACTTATTTAAGTAAATCAATACTTTCGGACGAAAGTGTAGTTAATCTAAGCCTACTTTACGCTTCCTCATACACGTGCGCACATGTGTAAGCCGACGTAGTGGACACACGCTAGGCCCATTACACTTCGGTTGTCCACGCATATCACAGTTCGGCAATCTTGATTCGAGCCAATGTCATCGAGTAGAAGTCGCCTCCACACTACTTCCTTCACGCAGTTGTTGAACGCCATGTAGTCGGCCTCGGTAGAGCTCTGTGCGACAATTTTCTTAAAACTTGAGCGCCATACAACAAGACCACCACACATCATGAGCATCAGGCCGCTCATCGAACGTCGGTCGTCCCGGTCACCCCAATCTTCATCTGAGTTGGCGATGTGGTGAAGCGACAGTTGTTTTTAAGAACAAGGGACTGATTGATGGATATTCCTCGATCCAGTCTCGGAACTTATCGTCGATGACGACGCATCAGGTGATTACATCATCATCTACGACGATTGCGTAATCGTCTGAGTAGATCGACATGGTGCAATCATTCCGACACGCGATAAGAATTCGACCTACTGCTAACGCATCAACTGATTTGAACCATGGTAAGTACCACGCGACCAGGCTACAGAAGGGATAGAAGGAGCATCTATGGGATGGCCAGAAGGTAGTGAACCGCTAGGACTTAAAGGAATAAGAGAGTGGAATTTGCCTTATCAGGAACAA